GGCACACAAACACAGACGCACAGACACAGACACAGACACAGACACAGACACAGACACAGACACAGACACAGACACAGACACAGACACAGACACACAGACACACACCACAGCGAGAGAGAGAGAGAGAGAGACACAGACAGAGACAAAGACAGAGACAGCAAACGGAGTCAGAGACACAGACGCAAACACCAACACAGAGACAGCCAGAAACACGCAGCACGCATCCATTTCACGAAGCTGGAAAAGGAAACCAAGAGTCAAGTAGTCTTTTCAAACAGCCAAATCGGGCCTTGGGAAGCTTCGGATTGTTGGGGTTAGGGAAATCTAAAGGAAGGGCTGGCTGGCGGTCCAGGGGATGTGGTCCACTGGGGAAGTCTCAGATCGGACACAAAACTCTCAAGTCTTGCGATCTGTTCAATGCCCAACAAACGCTTTTTACATGAAAAACCTGCGAAAACATTGCCTTTTCGGCTCCGGCCTCTCAAAAGAGGCGTCACGAAGCCCGCCGGTTCGCAAACCCTTCGAACAGGGATGCACCAGTGCCACACAGCCAGAACAGAACATGCACATGCGTGACCCCAAAGAAATCCGAGTGATGAATGTCACCTGGTCACCTGGGTGTGCAATCTTCTGTACCAAACCAAACTCGCAAAAACCCATCTGGACCACTTGCTACCATCAGGAACTTGCAATGGAACTCTTTCTGGTTGGGAATCCATGCGGGTCCCGGACCAAAACCACACGAGGCGCTTGGGTGGAATCCAAGCAAAAGAAAAGTTCCAGGGTGGAAGCGGACGCAAAACAGAAACCGGATCACAAGAGGCCCGGAATCCAAACGCAAACGACATTGTCCAATGAAATTTCCATATTAAGCGTCCCGAAATCCAAATATTCGAAAGGATTTGCATGGGCGCCCTAAATGCCCAGCAAAACGAGAGCGGCTGGAATCCACTGAACAGTTTGCTAGAAGTTCCAGCATGAGAGCAGAGCCCAAACCCATTAACCTTTGGCTCTACTCAGATGGCTGATTCAGGCTCATACAGGCTTTACCACTACCCAAAACTAAATCAGTCACTAGCACCACCTAGTATCAGCTTCCCCGAAATAAGGAGGGTAGGGGGTAGAACGAGGGCTTCAAATCCCAACCACCAATCCAAATCACTAATTGAGGGGAACCTGATACCAAAGTAGGCCGAGGATTTGGCTTTGCCCGCGGTCCGATTGAATTCCTGCCGCCCGAACGCTGAGTTCTCTGCCCCCACTCTCGGCGCTCACGAAGACCGCGGGCCCGGGGGGCACCCAGGCCTGGGCTTGTGTACAACCATTCTGCAAGTAAACCACATGGGAGGAACCGAAGCGATCACGGGTGTGACTTAGAGGATGGTTTATCATGGCTTACCGAACCAATGGTAAATCACGGTAACTTACAAGATTTGACGACAAAGGATTTGGCCACAAAACCATGGAAAATCAGGGTAACGTACGGTAGAGGATGTAACGCGAAACCATGCTAAATCATGGGAACTTAGAGGAGTCGACCACAGAGCCATGATAAATCACAGCAACTGGAAGGATATCCTAGTTCCCTTACTTGCGGCTTGCGGTTATTTGGAGCTTCTAGCATTGATTCCCATGCGGCTTCTCAACATGGGACAAATCCTGGCTGGGCTTAATTAGAACTTACAAGCAAATAACGCCTTTTAGGTAGTCCCCGATTTTGAAAAGCACCTATTGTCAGCCCCAAAGGACATGTCTTGTTTTCTCTAGAGAGCACGGTCTTTTGTGAGGAATCCCACGTCCGTGCTTTGCCTCGGAAATGGTGAGAGAAGGCCTGCCTCTGTCCAAGTTCGGAATCCCAGAATCCTTGAAGTACGGTCAGAAAGCTGAGTTGCTTCTAACACTGGAAAACCTCAGGAATTGACTTCCCCTCCGGCCAGCTTGGAGGGTCAACGCTCTTGCATGGATCTCCCCTCTGGGGGTCCCCATGAAAGGCACTTTGACTAAAAGCCGCATTTGGGGCAACATGTGTCACTCCACGTTTTTTGAAGTGTCAAAGGCTTGAAGGGTCTATGACGGACTCCCTGTGAAGGCCGCTTTCGAGACATGGGTCATGAGCCAGGGTGTGTGCTAAAGTAGGGGACCCCCAGAATCATGTGTATATATATATATATATGTATGCTTTGTTTTTCCCTTGCAAACCGACCCTGAAAAGGGCACCCGCCCAAAAACAAACCCCTGGAGGATGATTATTGTTCCTAAGAAGACCTCTGCCCAGGTCCCTTCCGTTTTTGTTTGAACCATGTACCAAGCCTAACACAAACCCATCGCCATGCATCTCTGGGCTCGGAGCCTTCCGAGTTGGCCGCAAGCAAATTCTTCGCTGAGAGCTTGGACCAAACTACACGCCTTCCCCATGGCCTATGACGAAGATATGGGTGTATAGATAGACATATGTGTATATATATAGTTATATATATATATTATATTTATTTATTTGTTTTTTCATTCATTAATTTATTCATTCATTTATTCATTGATTTATTGATTTACTTATTTATTTATTTATTTATTTATATCTATATACCAACATTAATTACACATCCATCAACGCATTCCGCAAATTAGGGGTTCAAACCTTCTCCTCTGGAACCAAAACCACAGGGCTCCCAGCCACCAATCAATGGTTGCCTGAACCCTTGGTGGTTTGGATTTGTGGTTTGGTTTTGGATGTAAATTCCCTGGTTGCTGTGGGTAAAGGAGAAACCACCCAACCTCCAAATCTGTGGTAACCCCCAAACCCCCCATTCGAATCCGCTTCTATTTCGGGCAGAGCTCACCCGTTCTTTTCAGCTACATGGATGTCTCTCCGCTCTCCGAAAATTCCTTAAGGCAGCTTCTGGGGTTGAAGGTTTTTTTTAAAGGGAAACCACCAATTTGTTGGGTTCTCCTAGACAAACTTATATGGGCTTCTCTCCAGGAATCGGAACCCTCAAAATGTGTGGTTCACCGCTAGTTCCCTTGAAAAGGGGTACTCCTTGAAGAAAGGAGCCACGCACAGCACATCTGGGTTTGTCTCAACATAGGTGGCCCCAAACTGGCTGGTTGTCCTTTTGTTTCCCTTTAAGTCAAGCCCAAAAATTGGTACCCTCAGAAACGCACACCCACAGCTCCTCACTACCTGCTCATTACGGCCGTGGGGCGGCAGTGCGGCGCAGGGTGGCGAGGCTGCGGAAGGAGTCGAAGCATACCTCGGCCGGACTTGATGGAGCCCCAACACGTAGCCTCAAGACAAGGCAAAACCAGACCCATGCGGATTTTGTGCTTGCGCCATGCGCTTGCCTTACAGCCGGCATGTTCGTAATTTCGTGCGCAAAGGAAGAAGGGCCACTCAATGTAATGATCAAAAGGAAATACGAAAGCGATACACCCTGAGCTCAGCCAACAAGCAAGTGGGAGCTGCCAAGTTAGATAGACGGTTCAGGTGACTGACAATCGGTTGCAAGTTCTACAACTCCAACACCAATTAAGCAGGTGAGGGAGCTTCGTTATGGTGATGTTTGGTGTACCCCTATGCAAATGTTTTCTTACCCCTTGTGCTTTGATATATTGGAATCCAACAATTATCCCACACGGCGATTGGCTACTTGTAATCAGAGGCAACCATGGCATGGATGCTCTGATGAGCCTAAATCACTTCAAAGGCGTCTTTTTCAGGGTACGTACTGAGTTTCTGTCAAAGGAGACCATGTCTTTGGGCGTGTCTCGTTTTGAGGCTACCGTTTTCCTTTGTTGCCAAGCCAAAAGAAACACGAGACGAGCACCACCCATGTACCATGTCGGGGGCTGGGGCTCCGGGCCGTCCAGGCCTCGTGGTTGAACTCCTCCGTGCCGGTGGCCCAGGCCTGCTGAAAACGCTGGACGAGGGCAAGCTTGGATCAAACCAAGTCAAAGAACTGTCCCATTTGTACCCCACCAAGTCAACCTGTGAAAGAGAGGCTTGAGCACTGAGGTTGAAACACCCGGGCGGCTCGTTGAGCCGCGACACAGTCAAATCACTGCTGAATCTTTGATTCTGTGTTGGGTGTCCCTTTACCCGGAGCCAAGTTTCTACCCTGAGTTCGGAACCTCATGAAGGTTCTTTTCAGGAACAGTTCCTCTTACCATTGGGTTGCAAAAGGCCAATGCTATGGTGCGGATCGGTTTTGTCGGTTGGTAACCTGGTACGTCATTTGGGAAAATTGCGTTAGGCAGGCCAAAGGAAGCTCGAAGAACCCACAATGTACAGTTGCGGCAGTTTGCAAACCTCGTAAAACACTCGGTTGATTTAGATGTTCAAGTTTATTGCTCAATGATGGGACCCTCCATTTTGAGGCGGTGCATTTTTCTGGCAGTCAGATTTTCAGGATTCCGCTGCAGAGGCCCAAGGCTCCGCGTTTTGCTCCAGGTGTCCTTTCGGGTCATCTTGGTTTATTTCACTTAATTGAAACTAGATGGCACTGCTTTGAGTTTGGCTCTGCTGCACCACTGGAATCAGTCTTGTTCAAAAGGGCACCTCGATCCTCAACCTTCTTAGGTTTATGGGGAAATCGGGGTATGTTCCCTTTATTTAGGCGTTTCTCAAAATGGTGGAGCTTGTTTAATGAGAAGTTGAGGGTTTATTAAATATATTTGAGGGTTTATTAAATATATTTGAGGGTTTATTAAATATATTTGAGGGTCTATCAAACACAATGTTTGAGCAAAAATACCAAGCTTCTATAAGGCCTGGAGTACAATCCCAACATGGCGCTCGATTCTGGTTCGGGGTGGGGGTCTTCCATTTTTTACAAGTACCCTGGACAAACATATGTCCAGTAGCGATAGATTCCCTTTAAAGCAACGGGGGGAAACAACAAGTCAACTAAGTCTTCTAAAACGCAAATGTAAGGGGACACACCTGAGCCACGCTAAGGGTTCCCACTCAAACTCCAAGGTGACAGGCGCCCTCCTTGCTTGGAACCTGCGAACAATTGTGCAACGTGTTGCTGGTAAGTGAAAGATTCGGAAACCGAATTGAAAGGGGCCGCGAAAAACTGTTGAAGTCTGGCAATGGATTGGTCGTTGCGCCACAATCACTCTCTCTATGTAACCTGCTCTATATCTACACGAGTTGTTGCAGCGTGCCTCGGAAGCAAGAACCGAGTCCTTTTCTGCCACCGTAAAGAAGCTGGACAAGACCTACTGGGCCCCTGGGTGTGTCTTGAAACCCCCAAAAAATGGAACCTTCCCTTGAACCAACCAAACAGGTGCACAGGAAACCACGATATAAGTCACCCATGTGACGGATGCCGAAGAAACAGCTCCGGCACCTCTTCGGGGACCCTGACGACTTTCCGAGTCATTCGCCGCCTTGATGGTGAAGATGTCTTTGCCTTGGAAGCTGGAGCCGTAGGTCTTGGGCGCGTCCCCTCTAAGAGTCATCTGCGAGAGCGGGTAGAAGCCTCGCAAGGCTCGGCGGGGAGAAGCCTTGCTTGCCCGCGAAAAACTTCTGAAGCCAAAAGGGCCCATTTTCTGAAGCAGATGCGATGCGGTTTTGAGGCTTCCGGGGTCCGCAAAGGTGGCTGTTTTCCGTGTAAGCCTGAAAGCCATGGTATGAAGCCAGGGATTGTCAGGCCGCATGGTCTTTCAACAGTCGTGGTCATGCAGCAATCTTGCAAGATCCAGTGCAAAATGGAAAGCCATAGCATTGACCATGTTGCACTCTGCAAAGACGAAACCCTATTGCACTGAAGGGGAGCAGTACCATATGACCTTGCAAACCAAAACGGTATTTACCACTCTCACTCAACAAGAACAAAACACAACCGCATTTCACGTAGACCAGCCGTCAACTAGCCTATGCCTGCATGCGTCAGGCTTCCCACTTATTGCAAACAGTCATTCTGAAACTCAGGATAAGGCACCCCTCACCCCACTGGTGAGTATAACCACCAGAAGATCGCCGCTATGTCATTGTATACTCTGTTGAGTTTCAGCCACTGGCACGCTGAAGTACCTGAGCCTAGCTTACGGATAACTATTCCTGGCGTATCCGACAGAGTTTGTGATCAGGGGAACCATTGTCGACAACAGCAACGACGACAGCAGCAGCAGCAGCAGCAGCGGCGGCGGCGGCGGCAGCAGCAAGAACAACAGCAACCAAAAAAACAGCAACCTCCACCACAACCGCAGCCAAACACACAAAACAACAACCAATCAGCCAGCCGGCCACCCAGCCAAACAACCAACCAACCAATCAACCAGCCAACCAGCCAACTAACCAACCAATTAACGACCAACAACTAACCAACCAAACAAACGAAACAATCAAGAAAGCAAACAAACAAGCAAAAACAACAAAAGTAAAAAAAAAAAAAAAAAAACAACACAACCATTCCACCATCCATCCATCCATCCATCCATCCATCCAATCAATCAATCAAGACAAACAAACAAACAAACAAACAAACAAACAAACAAACAAATACAAACCAACCAATCAAAGAAACAAGCAAACTAACAAACACCTTCTGTGCAGCATCTCATGGGCGAAACAAATGCTTTAGGTTGAAGATTCGATTCTGCCCTGGCCATTCAGGATGCTCAAAATATGGCCGCGGCAGTCTTTTTTAACGGTCCCGCAACCTTCTCTGAAAAAGGATGCATGAACCGACGAAAAAGCCCGATCCGTGCCTGCACATGCCTCAGCATGGTCAAAGTCCTGGTTGGAGGTCTCAACATCTTGCATGGCTATGTTTTATGTTTTGTTTAGCAAAACCCTCCCAAATTGTTGGTGGACCATTTACCCGATTTATCCCCACCACACGCACACCCTCGCTCGCGCGCACGCACGCACGCACCCACTCATGCGCAAGCACGCAGGCACCCACACCAAGCCCCACTCTTACGCATTTACATGGATAGATGTAACGCGTGCACTGACTTTCCTTGCTTGCTTTCTCAATTACTTGCATAGCCCGGTTTAAATGCACTTCTCTTTTGCTTACCATTGTTACTGACTCACTCCCTGACTCACTCACCCATCCACCCACCCACCCATGCACGCATGCGCGCATGCATTCACGCACTCACTCACCCACCCACCCACTCACTCAACCCCTCGCTCACTCACTCACTCACATGCTGACTTGCTTACTTGCCCCCTTTACTCAGACTCACGCACACACACACACACACACACACACACACACACACACGAGGCCACTGTTACATGGCCAAACTTGACCGTACATAGAACCCCTGCAACAAGTAACAACTGTCTGTTGCTGGTTGAAAGCCAAAATGATTGACCAAAGAGGCCCAACTTCCAAAGGGAAAGAGCCACGGCTTCCCCTTCCGGAACCTCTGGTGCGTGAATTCTCGGCAGGTGAAGGCTGCTTTGGTCCAGGGCGTTTTCACTCAAACCCAGGCCGCGCGACCTCACTAGGTCAGAGGAAGTCCGTATAGGTCAAGAGAAGTATGGGGTCTCAAATAGGGGAACCTCTAAAATGGATGGTTCCCTTTGGGTTCCTTTTGAAAGAACCCAAAAAGGGTACCCTCAAAAAAGACACCCCCGTATGGTCCTGCGGAGTAATCCAAATTCAAGACAAAACAACCTTCCTCCCACCAACATAGCATCTGTGGGAGGGTACCTGCAAGATCAATTTTCTCAAGGGACCCCCTGGTGCCAGGGGAAACAACATCCACAGGAATATGGGTGCATCTTCTGATGATTCAGACACCCTACCAGGATGAAAGCCCCAAGCATCTCGAAGCAAAGGAACCGGTCGTTTGACCATGGAATATGGCTTTGTCTTTCTTTTTGTCAGGCTACCCTTTTGTTGTGTAGTTCTACAGGGACATAATAAAAAGAGACACCCATATCCCTTGAAACCCATTCACATTCACCATGGCCCAAGCCGACCTTGGCACATGGGTGTTGATCAATATTCCTGGCCCCCAAATGACCATGGGTAACTTTTCCCATGTGGGAAATATCGCCTTTTTCGTGGTTTATCCCATGTGTACTGGAACTTTTGATCAACCCCCACATCCATCGAAACTCGAGTTGAGCCGTCCTCGAGCTCCACCACAGCTACCACGCGCTCCTCGTTGGGCCGCATCTGGGCCCAATGCAGCTGACCGGCGCCGAAGTTATCGCAAAGGATCATGGTGACCTGGGTCTCGAGGGGAGCCCCAGCCCGAGAGGATGGATGGAAGTGGCCTTTTCAAGGGCCCCAGGACTTTGAGACCGGATTTCCAGCGAAAAGAATGGATTGGCACTGCTTGTGGGTGGACTTCGAAGGGACCCCCCCACAAAGAGGAAAAAGAAGCTCACTGGGTTTGTAATTGGGAACGCCCCAACATGGGTTTCGCCTGTCCTTCTTTTTTTTTCTCGAGAAGATCCTCAAACAGCCACCTCCCCCCGCCCCCCCCGAAAAAGAAGAAGAAGAAAAACTAGGCTTCGGTTCATCCCAAAGCAGAAACCCTCGAAAAAAAGAGATACCCACATGGCGCCTGAAAATCAACATGGAACCCAGACAATCCTGGTAGAGGAAACGGCATTTGGGATCAATCTGCAGGGGTGTAATGTGAAAGGAGCTGAAAGATGGCTCAGAGTCTTATACGCTCAGAGGTGTCCTCCAGTTGTGAGGCTCCCTTGTCTTGTTTCCGATTGGCAACCAGCAAACGCAGCCCGTCACTGGTCCAAAGTGACCTCCAAAACGGGAGGTCAGTGAATATGGGACCTTCCCAAAAAGGAAGGACCTCCCATGACAGTGGAAACAGGACTTTCACCCAGATATGAATGCTCATATGCTCGCTTCAGGATGTCATCATTTGCAGGGAATGTGTCAGCCCTCTAAATTCCCCTGCGGGGAAAAAACGGGGCAGCTTTGTTGGTGAACTGGTCCTAAACTCAGACCAACACTGGGTGTTGGGGTAACAACATCTTCAAGGTAAAACTCCGCGCCACAAAAAAGGTCTCAGTCGATTCAGTTCGCATCTCCCCGGTCCTTCCCCCCGACCCTCCTCTCCCCCCGCTTGCGTCGAAAGGGCAGAGCCCAGGTGGTTGTTCCGCACACAGAGCTCGCTGGAGCCGTGGCCCCGCCCTGCACCGCTTCAGCCATTTTAGTTGGAGACATTTCCCTTTGGCTTTCCTATCAGGGTCCATTCACAAGGGACCACTAGATGTTGCCTGGAAACTTGGGCGGAGGCATTTCCCGTTGGCTTCCCCATCCATCGGGAAGTCGAGGATTTCCCTTTGGATTCTCTCTGCAAAAGTAAGGGGATTCTCGAAGGGCTTGCTCGGGCCGCGAGGCTAAGGAATTTTGACAGCTCTTGGCCCGCTGTGGGAAATAACTTGCCCCTGACGTGCCGCGACCGTGTCCTCTAAACTGGCGGGACCATGCTATGCACGGGATGTATAAAAGGGGGTACTAGGGGCCACGTGAGACATGTGGCATTGTCCCAAAATAGCCCTGGGGTTCAAAGCACCATTAAACGAAAGGGGGTTAATACAACCATTGCTTGCCTAAGGATTGTCATCATCCAAAATGGGTCAACCATTCTCGTGGGGGTTGGACAGACCCAGTGCACAAACGTGGGCTTGTTTCCAAATAGGAATCGGACCCCCAAAAAATAAAGGGGTCGTTGTCCTTTCGCTTCACTAAAAAGACCAGCCCAAAAGGAAAGACGAGCCACGGCCAGCTAAGTCTTCTCAGTGGCCAGCACTCCGCCCAAAGCCCGGCATCCATAAACCACGAGTTGCAAAGGTGTGTTTTGTTCACCAGGCAATCGGGGTCGTCATTTTTTTCTGCTCGTGGAGGCTGGCTGTCTATCCCTGCCAAAAACCCGGTGTAGCTTGGCTGGAAACCAGCACACATGGACTGGCCCACTGGCTTGGTTCTAGTAATATGATTCACTAAACCTCAAATTCAACAGGCAGCTCAGCCCACCTACTAAACTCGCCTTTGGGCGCTCTGATTCCAACAGTTCCGCTCCTGCTTGGAAGATGTCCAGGAGCGTCACCATGGCTCGGTCAGGCTTTTCCAGTTTCGGGGCCCCGAAGAGGTGGTCGGTTTCAGCTAGGATTACAGTGGAGTCGGACGGGCGACGTACGAGGCTTGGGCTTGGAGTAGGCGTCAAATCCAACAAGGGGGGGAGCTGAGTATAAAAAGCGACAATGGGAGGAAAGTTCTTCCTTGCCCACGAGCTGAGCCTCATGCCCAGGCAAGTGCTGCTGCTAAGAACCTTTCTCTGAATCTCCAAAAACCTCCAGCAACAGTATTTGGTCTAGATAAGCATTGTTGTTCCATCCATTGTTCGCAACTCGTCAACAAGTGGCCATGAAGACACTTGTTCTCGCGATGTTTGGAGAGCCAACGTGCCCAAAACTATTCTAAGACCCGACCGGCTTGGCAGACTTTGAGCCAAATGCTGGCGGAGAGCATTTCGAGGAGCGCAACAACAAGTTGCTGCCGGTACCAGCACTACTGTGGAAACAAGTCAACCCACAACAAAAAGGAATGAGATGACAAAGAAACTTTGTCAACCTCCGTACGAGTAATGATCATTTCAAGATCAACTGACTGCTTGCCCGCATTACACCATAACAAAATTGTAGAAGATCTTCCCATTCAGCTGACTTGTCAATATCCCGCAATGGGGGGCTGATGGGGGGGGGGCCTCCCCGTATCCCATCACAGATGCGGTCACGCTAGATACACCGTGAAAGTAGATGGCAGAACTTCCTTTGTAGGGGTACCCTCTCTCCGACAATCCCAGAAGTGGAAAGAGGGTTTCCCCAAAAGGAAAGTAGTCTTCCAAAACATTTTTTGCTGTTGTCAGCTTCGCTTCTTGGAGGGAGGATAAGTAATTGGCTGATCAAACCAAACTCGCAGTTTCGTCCGTCAAAGTTCACCCAACCGGAGTCACGCCCAAGCACTAAGGGCAATAAATGCGCTTGTTCGGCCACTCTGGGCTTTCCAAGGAAAACAAGCTGATACACGCGCTTGAAGTGTTTCTCGCAGCCGACCAACCCACCTCCCCCCAACCCCCCGCCTGGCCCCCCCCCCAAAAAAAAGAAAGAAAGATCAACTTTGAAAACGTGAAACTATACATGCCATCGCATTGACAAATAATGATGTCATCATGCTTCCTGTGAACTGGCCAGAAAGCCCACATCCAAGCAGCACCCAGTCAGCAAGCTCAGGACTTCTGAGAGGATTATCAACTCCACATGCCATCGCTTCGGCGGATTGACAGATAATGATGTCATCATGCTTCCTGTGAACTGGCCCTGAAAACCCACATCCAAGCATCACACAGTCAGCAAGCTCAGGACTTCTTAGAGGGTTATCAACTCCACATGCCATCGCTTCGGCGGATTGACAGATAATGATGTCATCATGCTTCCTGTGAACTGGCCCTGAAAGCCGACATCCAAGCATCACCCAGTCAGCAAGCTCAGGACTTCTTAGAGGATTATCAACTCCACATGCCATCGATTCGGCGGATTGACAGATAATGATGTCATCATGCTTCCTGTGAACTGGCGCTGAAAACCCACATCCAAGCGTCACCCAGTGAGCAAGCTCAGGACTTCTTAGAGGATTATCAACTCCACATGCCATCGCTTCGGCGGATTGACAAATAATGATGTCATCATGCTTCCTGTGAACTGGCCCTGAAAACCCACATCCAAGCATCACACAGTCAGCAAGCTCAGGACTTCTTAGAGGATTATCAATTCCACATGCCATCGCTTCGGCGGATTGACAGATAATGATGTCATCATGCTTCCTGTGAACTGGCCCTAAAAAGCCACATCCAAGCATCACACAGGCAGCAAGCTCAGGACTTCTTAGAGGATTATCAACTCCACATGCCATCGCTTCGGCGGATTGACAGATAATGATGTCATCATGCTTCCTTTGAACTGGCCCTGAAAACCCACATCCAAGCATCACACAGTGAGCAAGCTCAGGACTTCTTAGAGGATTATCAACTCCACATGCCATCGCTTCGGCGGAATGACAGATAATGATGTCATCATGTTTCCTGTGAACTGGCCCTGAACACCCACATCCAAGCATCACCCAGTCAGCAAGCTCAGGACTTCTTAGAGGATTATCAACTCCACATGCCATCGCTTCGGCGGATTGACAGATAATGATGTCATCATGCTTCCTGTGAACTGGCCCTGAAAACCCACATCCAAGCATCACACAGTCAGCAAGCTCAGGACTTCTTAGAGGATTATCAACTCCACATGCCATCGCTTCGGCGGATTGACAGATAATGATGTCATCATGCTTCCTGTGAACTGGCCCTGAAACCCACATCCAAGCATGACACAGTCAGCAAGCTCAGAACTTCTTAGAGGATTATCAACTCCACATGCCATCGCTTCGGCGGATTGACAGATAATGATGTCATCATGCTTCCTGTGAACTGGCCCTAAAAAACCACATCCAAGCATCGCACAGTCAGCAAGCTCAGGACTTCTTAGAGGATTATCAACTCCACATGCCATCCGCTTCGGCGGATTGACAGATAATGATGTCATCATGCTTCCTGTGAACCCGGCCCGGAAAACCCACATCCAAGCGTCACCAGTGAGCAAGCTCATATCTTCTTAGAGGATTATTAACTCCACATGCCATCGTTCCGGCGGATGGACAGATAATGATGTCATCATGCTTCCTGTGAACTGGCCCTGAAAGCCCACATCCAAGCATCGCACAGTCAGCAAGCTCAGGACTTCTTAGAGGATTATCAATTCCACATGCCATCGCTTCGGCGGATTGACAGATAATGATGTCATCATGCTTCCTGTGAACTGGCCCTGAAAACCCACATCCAAGCATCACACAGTCAGCAAGCTCAGGACTTCTTAGAGGATTATCAACTCCACATGCCATCGCTTCGGCGGATTGACAAATAATGATGTCATCATGCTTCCTGTGAACTGGCCCTGAAAGCCGACATCCAAGCATCACACAGTCAGCAAGCTCCGGACTTCTTAGAGGAGTATCAACTCCACATGCCATCGATTCGGCGGATGGACAGATAATGATGTCATCATGCTTCCTTTGAACTGGCCCTGAAAACCCACATCCAAGCATCACCCAGTCAGCAAGCTCAGGACTTCTTAGAGGATTATCAACTCCACATGCCATCGCTTCGGCGGATTGACAGATAATGATGTCATCATGCTTCCTGTGAACTGGCCCTGAAAACCCACATCCAAGCATCACACAGTCAGCAAGCTCAGGACTTCTTAGAGGGTTATCAACTCCACATGCCATCGCTTCGGCGGATTGACAGATAATGATGTCATCATGCTTCCTGTGAACTGGCCCTGAAAGCCGACATCCAAGCATCACCCAGTCAGCAAGCTCAGGACTTCTTAGAGGATTATCAACTCCACATGCCATCGCTTCGGCGGATTGACAGATAATGATGTCATCATGCTTCCTGTGAACTGGCCCTGAAACCCACATCCAAGCATCGCACAGTGAGCAAGCTCCGGACTTCTTAGAGGATTATCAACTCCACATGCCATCGCTTCGGCGGATTGACAGAGAATGATGTCATCATGCTTCCTGTGAACTGGCCCTGAAAACCCACATCCAGGCATCACACAGTCAGCAAGCTCCGGACTTCTTGGAGGATTATCAACTCCACATGCCGTCGCTTCGGCGGATTGACAGATAATGATGTCAGCATGCTTCCTGTGAACTGGTCGCTTCGGCGGATTGACAGATAATGATGTTATGATGCAGGAAGATCAAATATGTTCAGAGGATGTTCACCTCCACGTGTCATTGCCAACTGGCCCCGTAAACTGACATCCAAGTATCACCAGTCAGCAAGATCAGGACTTCTTAGAGAATCATCAACTCCACTTGCCTTGACTCTCATGATTGTTTCTTCTTTGGTTCTACCTCGTGACCCAAATGTTGCGTTCGTACCGCAAAGCCGAGGGCGCTGTTTCAGGTTTGCAGACTTCCAAGTTGTCTTTTGGGGAAGTGAGGGGTTCAAGGGTGGGAGCTTCCATGGAATCGCCTGAGGCTAGAAAGAACATTTCTTCCAGGGACCTTAAATCAGGATCCAACTGTGTTAATGCGGCCCGGCAGACGTTATTGCGCCCGCGTGCGTGTGTCACCTTGGGGTATCGAAATACAACTGCCGGGCCGTGAAGATGCACGGCGTCCTCTAGGCGCGTTCCTCTAAATACATCCAAAAGCAGGATACCCTTCCTCCCACTAACACGGCACCTGTGGGAGGGGACCTGCAAAAATCCTGTCTTGAAGGGAGAGTGGGAGCCAGGGTACCGTTTTTTTTCGGAAGAAACTCCGCAGTGTTTGGAATGGGAAAGCGAGCTCGGCAAGCTCAGCAAGATACAATGGGGCCTGCCTCTAGCTTGGAACCCCGGATACAACAGTTGATGACAGGGGTCACTGGACCTGCCCTTTCAGTGTTGCGATTTTCTGGTGGTTTCCCTTGAAACTGCCACTTTTGGAGAATCAGAAACACGCAAAACCTGTGATTCATTTGGGTGTGTCCCCGTTCAGTGGGCTTCAGACCACTTTTGGAACTTCATCCATTGTCCTTTTTTAGGCGACTCCATGGAAGCCAACCGAGGCAGCATGGCAGGGAAGCCTTACTGCCGTCTGGCATCGATGCAACTTGCAGTCCGAAGGTTTTCGAGACTGGTGGAAAGCCATGTCCGGCATCCGAGCCACATGCCGACCTAAGCAAGCTGCTGTCCAGACTGCAAGACTTTCACGCACGGATTTGACTGACTCCGATGTGACGCTGCGGTTCCACTTTCTCCCACGAACAGAAGGTGCCTGGTTGTAAGACAATTAAGGCTTACCTCTTCAGCTGTCAGTACATCTGGGAATATCTGAATCGGATCATCGGGTGTCCCCGAAGCAAGACCTCCATCGAAATGGGAAACGAGCGGACTGGCCCAAATGGTCCAAACGCAAGTGTCAAAGTCCATGAACTCAGAGAGTGAGTAGATTAACGTCCAGGTACCAACAAAATGGTGATTTCCCTTTGG